TATCATGTTTGTGTGCATATATGTGGCATGAGTTAGCTTAGCTGGACTTCTTTGTGTTGTTCTTCTGTTTGTGTTTTTTTAATGATGCCAAAAGGGGGAAAATGGATAATAGTATCGACTCAGGGGAAACACATGAACTCAGGGGGAACACATGTGTACAAAAGGGCATAGAGTCAGGGATAACCTGTGTTCTTTACTTAATCTGGTTCTTACTGCTCTAAATCCACTCTATAAATGTCAAGTTTATCATCATCAAAAAAGGGGAAATTGATAAGTTTTAAATGTTCTTGCCTTATGTTTTGATGATCTAACAAACTTACTGCTAAGAACCAAATAGGGAACCTGACCTACTTGGACTATACTGCAAGCTTAACGGATTCCAGCTAAAGGTGAACTACTACAGCTTCAGGATCTAGGAACCCAAATATGGACCTGATACCCTTGTGATTTCTTCATAACAGTACAAAGTCAATTGGACACATCTGGAAACGACATGACTGCCTGCACTGTTTCTACCGCACTGCACTGTTTCCAGCGCCCACTCATTCTCTGACCAACTAAAGTGCTCACATCATTTCAAGTGATGTGATCAAGGTGTACCAACAATGAGTTTATACAAAAACATCACTTGAATGTTTCAGTTTCATATTCAAGTCTTTTGCAAAAACAGAGAAATCAATCCTCACGAGCTTGAAGAACAAAGTTGAACGCAACTACGGACCAGTTCCTAAAGTTAGCTTGTTATTGTCCTAGTTGAGTTGTAACTTTGCGATTGTACTTATTGTATCTCCTAAACTGCTTAGCTAGAAGCATTGATTAGGAATCCTCTTGTAAATCCGTAAACTCCTTGAGTTTATATTGTGACTAGGTTTAGTCATAAGCAAAAGCCTTTGTAACTGCAGAGTGACAAATTGGCTTGTGGTGAGAGCATCACAAGTTAGTAAAAGTCTTTTTAACTAGGGAGTCACAAAGTGGCTTGTGGTAAGAGTACCACAAGTTAGTTGAGTAAATTCTTTGTAATGGAGTCATTACAAAGTGGCTTGTAATAGGTTTTTACAAGTTAGTGAAGTTGAAAGCCTACATGTGTAGGTCGTGGTTTTTTGATCCCCTTGTGTGGGATTTTTCCACGTAAAAATCCTCTGTCTTATTTACTTGCAGTTTTATTAGCATTCTCAGTAGAATCTCGTAGAGGACCAGGTACTCTACTATTTGGTGGACTCACGCAAACTAAACAAGGGCCCTGACCTTCCTCGTCACTACTCGACCGAGGTTATGCTTGTCACTTACTGGGTACCGTCGTAGTGTAATCATGTCATTTCCTGCACATGTTTTTCGTGTGCAGATCCAGGTTCTTCGGCCTAGCCATATTATCAGTGAGGCGAGGCGACCTTCAGAGACTTCGAGGTATATTTGCCGCGTCCGCAGACCGAGGAGTCTCTCTCTATTCTCCCCTCTAGCTTTAGCTCTCCTGTATTTAGTTTTGTTTAGACATTCTGGAGTTAGAACACTTTGTAGTTATTCTACAGCTTGTGATTTCATGAGATTTCGGGTTTTGGGAGTGTTGTTATTGGTCGAGAGTGTTATTATGGTATATGCCGAGCGACATTTTAAACTTTCTTTATTATATTTCCCGTAAATTGCTAGTTTTGTATCTTTATTTCCACTTTTTGCAAATTGTTAGGTTTACCTAGTCGTAGAGACTAGGTGCCGTCACTACAGTTCATGGAGGAAGAACTTGGGTCGTGACACCCGAACAAATCAATGTGAATAAGAGGTTCAAAAGATTATTCATTTGCAAAATATTGCAAATCAATTGCCAGATGTATTCACTGGCCCACCAAGGGTGATTAAGTCACATATTCCAGCTGCTAATGCTCCAATTCGAGTTGATATCCCGGTAGGACAATCAATTAAAGCAAATAAGTGTAAGTCATGCTTGAAACGTGGCAGACCAATTGGTTCTAAATATAAAAATCCTCGAAGAAGAAAATGAGCAAATGATCAAAGTGATCATAACATGGAGGTAGTGGCTCAAGAAGAGCCCCAAGACATAACAATTGATAAGACCTTAGGGGAGTCTAGGTACCTGAAAATAATGAGAATGAAGAGATATTAATAAGTTACGTCTCAATGGGAAAAAAATGGAACCGAAATAATACTGTTATCGATAACATTTTTGCTTATAATGTTGTTGAAATAATGCAATAAGATGAGTATCTTGAACCAAAATCTGTCGATGAATGTAGACAGAGAAATGATTGGCCAAAATGGAAAGACGCTATCTAGGAAGAGTTAACTTCACTTGGAAAACGTGAAGTCTTCGGACCCATATTTCGAACACCTGAATATATAAAGCTAGCAGGGTATAAATGAGTTTTTGTGCGAAAGCAAAATGATAAAAATGAAGTCGTTAGATATAAAGCACGACTCGTGGCACAAGGATTTTCGCAAAGGCCTGGCATTGATTATATGGAGACATATTCTCCTATAGTGGATGCTATCACCTTCAGGTATCTCATAAATATGGCAGTGCATGAAAAACTTGATATGTGTCTAATGGATATTGTCACAGCCTATTTGTATGGATCATTAGACAACGAAATTTTTATGAAAATACCTGAGGGATTTAAAGTGCCAGAAGCGTATAAAAGTTTTCGTGAAACTTGTTCAATAAAGCTTCAGAAATCTTTATACGGATTGAAACAATCAGGTCATATGTGGTACAATCGCCTGAGTGAATACCTGTTGAAAGAAGGGTACAAGAATGATCCAATTCGTCCTTGTGTCTTTATAAAAAGTCTTGGATCTGAATTTGTTATAATCGTCATGTATGTTGATGATTTAAATATCATTAGAACTCATGGGGACCTTCCAAAAGCAGTAGACTGTTTGAAGAAAGAATTTAAAATGAAAGATCTTGGAAAGACAAGATTTTATCTTGGTAAGAAAGAATTTGAAATGAAAGATTTTGGAAAGACAAGATTTTGTCTTGGTTTATAAATTGAGTATATGAAAGATGGAATATTTGTCCATCAATCAACATACACTGAAAAGATTTTAAAGCGATTATATATGGATAAAGCACATCCATTGAGTACCCCGATGGTTGTGAGATCACTTGATATAAAGAAAGATCCATTCCGACCTCATGAAAATGATGAAGAGCTTCTTGGTACCGAAGTACCATAGCTTAGGGCAATTGGGGTATTAATGTATCTTGCCAATAATTCCTGACCAGATATAGCTTTCTCAGTAAGCTTATTGGTAAGATTTAGTTCTTCGCCAACACAAAGACATTGGAATAGTATTAAACATATATTCAGATACCTCCAAGGGACCATTGATATGGGTTTATTTTATTCAAATGGATCCAAGTCATCATTAATTAGTTATGCAGATGCAGGATATTTGCCTGATCCACATAAAGGTCGATCTCAGACAGGCTATTTATTTACAAGTGGAGGTACAACTATATTATGTCATTCAACGAAACAAATAATGGTTGTTACTTCTTCAAATCATGCAGAGATAATAGCCATTCACGAAGCAAGTCGAGAATGCGTTTGGTTGAGATTGATAACTCAACACATTCAGGAAACATGTGGTCTCTCTTCGAAAGACAATATTCTAACAATATTGTATGAAGACAATGTTGTATGCATAGCTCAACTGAAAGAAGGATACATCAAATGAGATAGAACAAAACACATTTCGGCGAAATTCTTTTTCACTCGTAATCTTCAAAAGAATGGTGAAATAGACATTCAACAAGTTCGTTCAAGTAATAATTTGGCGGATGTGTTCACTAAGGCATTACCAACCTCAACATTTGAGAAGCTGATATACAAGATTGGGATGCAATGTCTTCGAGATATTAAGTGATGTTTTCATCAGGGGGAGTAACTACGCGCTGCACTCTTTTTCCTTAACCAAGGTTTTGTCCCACTAGATTTTCCTGATAAGGTTTTTAACAAGGCACCAAGTAATACGTATTACATATAACTATGTACTTTTTTATAGTAAAATTTTGGTAAAGCATATTATTTTACATAGACATCCAAGGGGGAGTGTTGTGAATAGTTTAAGGAGTAGATGTCCATGCTGCTATGGACATCTATTTCCCTTATTGTTTGATGTTGAGTATTTCCATTCCTCTTACTATTTGTGAATAGAAAGCGTACTTTTTAAGCTTATAAATAACCTTGTATCTGATGAGTAAAGACACACAAAAGTGAAAGAAGAAAAAAGTTCTTCCTTCTTTCTGTCTCTTTTTATTTATATTTTACTAAATTGCTTTTATTTTATAATAGTTTCTTTTTATCCACCAAAGGACGCAAATACATTATTTTTACAGGAAAAAACCCGTTCACATTTTGGGAATTCAGTCCTTTTATCAAGCTTGACCAGAAATGAGAATTTTAACTACAATTGAGATTATAGGGTACTACTCTATTTACAAGAGGCGAATCAAAAGTTAATTAATAGTCACTTGTCATATGATTAAAATTTTGCTTTTTAAACATTGCTTTTGTCTGTTTTAGATAAATTAGTAAGAAAACTGAAATAGAAAAGAAAAGTTAAAACTGTATTGCCTATCTTTCTCTAATATCTTACAATGTTTAAATATATTTAACAATTTTATTGTGTTTATTTAGGTTAAGTATGATTAAATGATGAAAATTTATATAAAATAAAATACATCATGCATTTCTAGGTTAGTGCATACACCAGGTGCATCTAAGCTTTTTTCTTTCCTACAATGACCTTTGGCACTAAGATCAAGCAGATTATTGGACACCACCAAAATATTTAACAAGGGGGTCAATTGGTCATTTGGTTGTGTGATCCATTACAAACTCTTTTTAGTTTTACGTAAAATCTCTGGAAGATATTTATTTTTACATGCAGAAGATCTTTACAGAGTCATTTTCTTCTATTCAAAGTGTTATGTTGAATCATTGCCTCGGAAAAAGAATCACGCTACATTACAGAACATTGTGTTTTTAAAGAATTTAAGTAAATACGAACTCGTTCTCTCTGCATAATTCTGGAGAAAATTGATGTTGAATTTACAAAAAAAATATAGGGTAAAAACCTACAATCTGAAACAATATAACGAACTCTAGCACCAAAAAAAAAATCTATAGAACACTTTGAAATGAAGTTCTTGATTTTAAAAAAGAACAGATCCACGCTAAACTTATGGCAGGTGAGCTTCACTATTACCCGTTGATTCCAGTATGCTCACCCCTATGGAGAGAAAACAAGAATACTCTGATGCATACCTTCAAGTTAGGGAAAAATGAGAGCAAGTAGGGTTGCATGGATAGGGACAATCAATATATTTTGCAGCTTTACGGTTGAAGTACCACTCTCCTACAGCCTCTGCAATTGTCTGTTCAACGGTCAGAAAAACGATCATCAGTAAACTGCTAGTTCAACCTATTGCAATAGACTCAGAAATGACTTGCTGAAATAGCACGTCGTTTAAACGCGGTGTCCTAAGAATGTGAGATCACCAAAGTTGGAGGAAATATAGCTCAATCTGTGTAATAACACATGGTTTCCAAGCTGCAAGTGCTCAATGTATTTGCACCCTCCAGCTTGAGGGGGAGTGTTCACTGTTCACAGTATATTGGTCACTGTAATATAATTAGGTAGCTCTATTTGTTAGAGATTTGATAGAATTGTGTCAATTAGGGAAGTTAATGAGGACATGTGTGTATATATTAAGCTTTGGACAATTTTTTTCCATTTCTTATGAATGATAGCCAGAAGATCAGTTGAGCAAACTTTACCAAACTCCATTCCTCTCATTTTCCCTCAGCTAATATTCAGTTCAGGGGTTTAAGCTCGAAGCCATTCCAAATTGTAATGAAATTAGACTGTCCAGACAGCTATTGTATCTGGTTTTAGATTTTTGCTTGTATGCCATACTTTTTCTTAGAGATGGTCTCTCAATATAACAGATCTGTGGTCTCAGAAATGGAAAAAATGTGGAGAAGTTAATGATTTACACTGCAGAAAGAATTCAGTGTAAGCTTGTCCTATTCTAGGATATGATGATATTACGCAATCTCGAACTGAACTAGCACAAGGAGATTTTTAAGAAAATTTCGCATTAAATTATTCTAGCCCAACAGAAAAAATCTGATATCCTTCATGCCAAGTTCAAACCTAAGATAATTCCTCACGAGGGCTTTGAAGCAACATGGTTAACCAAAAAGGCACCGTTACGGTTACATCTGGAGTAAAATATAGCATAACTGATCTCTAGAAAGATCTAACTTAAGCTTTTAGGTCTAACTGCACATTAAATTAGACATTCATTAACTTTTCGAGTGTTTCTTACTTTGGTTTCTTACAATTTTAAGTTTCACAGACCCTGATGTTCTCACTGTTGGTGAAAGGGTAAAAGGGCGGATTCACAGATGTGTACAGTTAATAATTACCTTACCCATCTACCAACCACTTATCCATCTTGCTAACTGTTGGGTGCATGGGATAGATATGTCAGTACTTATCCTCTTACTACAGGACGCTTACCTAGCCAACTCTTAGATCCAGCTCTACCCAAACTTTACTGGTTCATCCCAAAACTCCCCACTTGTCCGACTGTTGCAGAGCAATTTTGGTATGCTGATAAAATTTGAACTGCCTTCAGACCAAAAATAGAATAACGAGAAAACTTACTTTGTTATCGATTTTTGGAGAATAAGGAGCATGCCATGTCCCAGTCATCCATGTCTGGCAATGTGAAAAGCAAGAAATTATGAACATGCCTCCTTCTGGATTTTGCTGAAATCCATCGAGCTTTTTGAGCAAAGACTTCCGGAAATCTGTGGATAATGGATAATTAATAAGGTGACAACTGAGTAGCTATTGCTCACTTTTTAAATCAACAGGTCCAAGATATTATCAAAAAAGAATAATACAAGCTCAAAGACTTAGACTTCCGAGATTGATTCAGGATTATTCCCTGATATCATCCCACTAAACATAGCAAGCACGCAAGCATCATAATTCTGGACTCCTCAAATGAAAGCCTAGTCGTGATAACTATAATTGCTGTTTTCAGATGCAAGTATTCACCTTCCAGGACTTCAAGCTGCTTGGAATTACAGAGTGTGATATTTAGCTTGCATCTAAGCCAACTTCCATGTGGATCCGCTGAATCAGGTATCAAGACGTTTTGTATCTGTAATGTATAAACAGTAAGTTAAGAGAGCATCTAGAAGGAAAAAAAATTATATTAGCTAGAAGCTGAAACCACATGGACCAAAAACTTACTTGCCAAAAATCATATCCCGGGTTAACAAGGAAAACAGGGGTCTTTATGTTGCTTATAAATTCTTCAGGGAAAAAACACTGAGATTGAGGCCAACAGAAGGTCACAGTAGAGAAAAGGTGAATTACAAAAGAAGAAACAATGTCAGTAGTCCCACTATAAACGGCAAAATCGCACCTTATAAGGTTCCAATCTTGATGTGCAATCCTTCTTTAAACTTTTAGCCGCACCCTGGGAAGGATCAAATTGCAGTCAGGTTTAGGTGAGAAATTAGAACAACCGCAATTAAGAAACAGGGTCTACACGGGTAAAAAATTGATAACTACAATAGTTGGAAAAATGGAATCAAGAAACCAGGTTCACAGGTAGATAATTCATATTACATAAACATTGTAATTTGCTCAAACAGCACTTCAGAAATTATGCCACTGATTAGTAACAAGATTTTGTTGATCAAGCAGTGCAAATCCAGCAGCAATATCGTTCCTTCACATCTATAGATAACCAACCTCTCAAAAGTAAAATCTTAAATCATCGATTCCCACTTAAAGAACCTTTTGCAGTCTTTTCCTTTTCTCGGATTTATATTTGGTTCACAAGTAGAAATTGAGTGACATCAGGTTTCAGTCTACATTTATTCATTATGTGCCAGTCTTAGGACCTTCATAGTTCATAGTAGCATGTGCCATCTACAAAAATTATCACATACAGTATACACAGTAAGTACAACAACCAATTGAGTTAATTACAGACTTTCCTCATTTAGATCTCTCCAGATTCTTGTTCAACAGTATCCATTTTGCACAAAAAAATTTCAGAAATATCACATCTGATTTTCTATTCCATGGTTCCTTTTTTTATTGGTCATATGCACCACAAGTTATGAAATGAAATAGTATCATCTATTCGATCGCATTTTGAATTATATTTTCCTCATATCTTTTACATCAATAATTTCTCCATCAACATGCATTTAATAACATCCATCTAATTAACTACATCGGAATATGACCAGGTTTTAAAAGGAAGAAGGAATAAATATGTCGAGATAGCCCATCACAAGCAAAGAAGGAACAAAAGCGCTCACAAAAAAAAGAAGAAGGTAAAGCAGAAAATTAGTTTCTGAATTATTAGAAAAAACCTGGAGGTTAACAACATCTTCATAAAATCGCTCAAAGGTGGGAATTCCAGCAATATCCTTTCTGAAATAGTGAAGGCAATAACAGACTTACAGTCGATTCAAGGTATCACTACATGCTCAAGAACTTAACAGTTCTTAAAAAGTGTGTGCACCTCTACTTTCTTGGGAATGAAATTGTCACTCTCATTCTACAAAACCTAATGCAAATCTTTTAGACAAAAAGAATCATCATCAATATTTGATTAGAGTCTGAAGTCTCAAAACTTAATGGAAAAGGTGCCCCTTTTGTACAAAATGATCAACATACCAAGATGCTCAATAGTTTCCTCATGTGTTTCTCTTAATTGAAATTTTGTCAACTATTGCAGTTTGAGGTTCCGATCTATTATTGCGAGCCAGTCATTACCTATTATTAAGTTTTTAGCATGAGACTTTGCACCATCAGTTAGTTTTTTCAGTTGTGAGCACATTAGCTCATTCAGTAATTCACACCCTACCCTTTACTGGCAATCTTTACTCCCTCTGACCCAATTTATGTGAAGGGGTTAGGAGTACAAGGTGCAAGCACCAAATTTTTGGTGTGAATTTGGGGATAGATTCTTCACTTTTAAGAAAGTAAAATTTACTTATTCGAAAACTACATGAAAAATACTACAAGTCAACATAGTTATCAATTCAAAACTTTCAGAAAGGCTTTATGAAGATCGCAGTAAAACAAATTGTTTGACTCATCAAATAGTAACACCTTCACATAAATGCGAGAGGGAATGCTATTTAAAAGTTTAAAACCATGTGCATATCTCTTTACATAATTTTTGTTTATTTTTCCGCGAATGCAGGTATCTAGCTCATTCATTATCTAACACTTCATTACTTCCTGGCTATCTTTTACAGTGTATAACTAAAGAATTGACTCTACCATCAAGTTGCTTCCAATATAATTTAAGACTCAACCATCATGCGTTTCTCTTAATTTTGTCATTTGGAATATAATTTAAAGAATTGACTGTCAAACATCAAGTTTTAGTGCATCTTTTAGATGCATAGTGATATCTAGAAGACATACTCATTGAGGAAAAAACCTGCATCGCTAAGGCACTTGACATTGACATCCTTGGGTAACATCTCTCGGAAGTCATCACAGTGTATGAGAGCTGCCAGACCTCCAGCCGAGCACCCCGAAAGAAGAGCCTGCAAGTTAGGCAGTAAAATGCTGCAATTCTTGGACTTCTAGGTCCATTACTTCAATAAAAGCAATAACAACATTTTTTCCTGACGAAGGAAAAGCAGTAACCACCTCTTAGTGCACTTGGAAAGATATGGTATATTGATTAGAATCTTCAGAATGATGTATGCTTTTTTTCTTTTTCTTTTTCTTTTTTTCCCTTTTTGAAGGTTGAATTGAGTATCTATTAGTTTGTAGAATATATACTTCAGAACTAAAGAAAAAATTCACTGAGAAAATGAAGAAAACAAAGCAAAATGTTTTATCTAACACAAAAGTGAAACAACTAAAAATTCAATGAGATAAAAGAGAAACAATACCTGTTTAGCATTAGAAAGTCCTAATGACAAGAGTTCATCCATTATTGCTTCCCAAATAAGCTGGCCTCTGAAGAAGAGTCCCGTTCCATTCTGCCATAAATTAATCGACAATATAGGCACTCAATGCTTCTTTGCCTTCTTCTACTCACCTCTTTGATGAGTGTCAGAAAATGCACAACAATTTCATAGTCTTTAATAATAAACCTTCAAAACTTACTTTAAATTCACTCTCTGGGTGTCCAGTAAAGGATCCACCATCGCAATAGCGTATCTTGACTTTGTTCCATTCAAAGAAGTCTGAAGAAAGTGAAATTGGCCGAACAAGTGTGTAAGAATCCTTAACAAAGCAATTTTGCATATTAAAGAAAAATAAGTCAAGTAGGAATACCTAGTTTTTGTCAAAAGTGACACTTGTTCTCATCAACAAACACGAAAAGAAAAACTATGTGGTAATTATTGAGATTCAAAAAGAAAAGAATTCAAGTAAGTTCCTATTATTCCTCTGAGTCTTGACAAACATGAATTTTTGGAGATGGTTAATTCATCGGCAACAGAAAAATATAAAATGATCATGAGCTATCTATGTGTACTTGTAAAGTTGATGTCTTCTTCTTGTAGATACAAATATTGGAGGATCCAAACTTTAAGCATAACGAAAATTTATAGCAAGATTATAATGATAACAATCATTGAACACAATATAACAGGAAGTCAATTTTTTTGTTTACTTATTTATTTATAAAGATTAAGGAGTTATTTCCTAAACCATCATCGTAGTTAGTTACCCGGATTTAGTGATTGGTCAGAGCCCAAAATTCCATGAAAAACATCAGGCTCCATGAACCTTGAAGAGCCCAATTTTGTTGTCTGGCGAACAGAACATGTTTTTATTGAGTTACACCAGCCTCCGCCCTGCAAGATCAATAAAAACACAGTCAACAAAGAAGAAAGGAAAGAGCAAAGCAGAATATTGACAAATCACATCTGCAGGCTAATGTTGTGTGCTTTGGCTACAATTTCTCCCTTAACCAAGCCCATAACAACAACAAGAGATAGAGAAACCATCCTCCACTACACCTCATTCCTGCGGACACAAAAAACGTTACGTGATTTCTTCCAATCTGTCCAAGCTTTTATGAATAGAGTTACCAGTACTTGTACTGGTGGGAGGTATCAGGTAAACAGTGAAAAGGTCAAAGTGCGCGCAAGCTGGCACGAGGACCACCATCATTTTAAAAAAAAATAGAGAAACCGTCCCCTCACCTGTGGCTGCATTTCTTTTTCCTAATTTTTTTTGTTAATGGGAATGATATGACTCAGAATTCATTACCTCTATTAGGGGCGGAGCTAGGGGGTCGGAAGGGGTTCAGATTTTGAAAAATTACATTTCGTATATAAGATTAGTTTCTTTATGTGTATGTATGTGTGTGTGTGTATATATATATATAAATATATATATGATGTTGAATCTACTTGGTTTCTTCTCCTCTTTTATTCTTTGGATTGTGTTGCGTTAACGAGGGATGCTCTGTGCGGTGTGTTTAACCAAAAATCTGAGTCTTTGGTCAAAGCTAAAAAGAAATTCGGGTTACTGAT